TGTAGCATTTATAATTTTTGAAGTGCATTCTTCTTCATATTTGGTTAATTACCCACCCAATGCAAAGAGGAAAAATGGTTGGGATTGCAAAGGAAACTATTTATTATGATTTTATGCATACATACCTTTTAATAATAATAATAACATCCTTGAAATAATTTTCATTTTCTGGTCAATTAATATATGTATAAATAAAACCATTAATAATCATTAATAAAACTTTTTTTTTTTTTTAAATTATATATATTAAATATTAATAACATCTCTTCCAGATTCTGCTAATGTTATTAATAAATAAATACTTTTAATTTAACCATTACACTTTTAAATTTATATAAAAAATAATAGAAAATGGGTGAAAAAAAATTAGTAATAGTATGTAGCTAACCTTTAAAAAAAAAACCAAATTATTTCCATTTTATTAATAATAGCCATTCTTGAAATCTATTATGCGAATTTATTTTTGTTTGAAATTCTATTTCATCCAGCAATATATATATTAATATTATTAGATAAAATGTTTATTATTAAGAAAATAATCTTTAAAAAATAACTACCAACTAATAATCAGGATCTATTCCGCGAATTTGTTTAATATTAAAAAGCAAATTTGAAGTTAATGTAAAAAAATTAAGCCCAAATTGGTGACACATGCACAATTTCAATCTTTGAGAGAGAGTGTTTTAATTGATGATAACAAATTTTTATTAGTTTATGTGGATCAGAATGAATAGGCTAATATTAACTTCTGATTCTTTATCATCGTCAGTCTTCACCAACATAACAAACCCAATAGAGTTAATATCTGTCATACGGGCACTAATTGCATTGCTATATCCACCATAATATTTTGCATATCCTAACAGTGTGTTTGGATGTGTATTCATGTATAATACTAAACGTTCAGAATGTGGTGCAATTGGATCTGGAATCTGCTGGTTTTTTGTTCTACGCATGCTTACTTTTTGCTTTTTTTAATAATTGACAAAATTTTAATAATTAATTAAATTATTTTTTTTTCATTTAATCTTTTTATAGAACACTAGTCTTCAATTGATTGGTGTTGAATTTCACGTGATTGTGGGATATTTATTACAGGGAATGATCACATAAACTAGGGCTTCTATTCGCAATACAAATTCTTGTTCGAATTATTCGTAATACAGTTGACCTTTAATATTAATATTAATATTAAAAAGTTTATTCGAATTTAAAAGTTTATTCGAATTA